AACAAGAGCGCACAATTCTCATTCCCTCCCCGGCTCTGGGCTCTGCTGTCACCCGTCCTCGGGGGTTAGTCTGAGGAGCCAGGAGGACAATTGCATTCGCTTTGGTTTGAGCTAAGTGTTGGGTGGCCCCCTGGAGGGAACCGGGAAAGGGGGGAGCGGGGGAGCTCCCGGGAAGGGTGGGAGGCGCCCCCCAGCCTGAGGCCCCGAACTCCCGGGCGGGCTGCAGCTTCCGCAGGTTCTTTGTATTTTAAAGTTTTTATATATTTATTCACAAGAGACACAGAGAGAGACACAGACCCAGCCAGAGGGAGAAGCGGGCTCCCTGGTGGGGGCCCGACGCGGGACTCGAACACGGGACCCCAGGTCACGCCCGAGCCCCCCCCCCCCGGCACCCCGCTGCCCCAGTCGAGCTCTGCGTGTGCTCTGCTCTCTGACGGCTCAGACGGGAGCCCCACGTGGCAGCTGCGGCTCGTCCCTTGGGTCACGTCTGACTACGGCCTGGCCACCCCTGGCCTCTGCCCAGCGCCACCCCCCTCCCCTCTCCTCCCCTGAGAGCCCCGAAGTGCGACATGACTTAGGACCCACTTGCCGTGTGGATAAACTCACTTGAAAAGAGAGGATCATCAGCAGCTGTGTGGGACGGGCCTGGAGTGTCGCGGCCACAGCCGCCGCCCCGGCCCGCGCCCGCTTGCCCCGGCTCCCCTCCCCCCGTCTCACCCTCGCTTCCCTGGGGTCACACGGGCCCCAGAAGCCTCAGCGCCGACACTCAGGCTCTGTTTTCCGGGGCACCTGACTAGGCGCCGTGTGTGTCATTCCTCATCTGCGAAAAGGGAGTAATTATGTGGCGCTGCGGCGAGCGGGTTATTTAAGCGCCGTAACCCGTTGCACGGGGAACGCTCCACAGCTTGGGGTATTAGTATGCGTCATCATCACGTGAAAGGGGGTGGCAAAGACCATCTTCTAGCAGGAGGGGGACCCCACACCTGCTCTGCTCCCGCGCAGAGGGATGAGGGTGCCCCCCCCCCCGCAGCGTGTGCTTGTGGCCGTTTCCCTTGGACCGGTTGGTGGGGTTGGGGCTGCTTTCTTCCACAGGCTCGGCGACATTGTTCTGAGTAGAGTCCCCGTTGCGTGTTATTTGCCCTTTTGGAGGGAGGAGAGAAAAGCTTCCTTCTGGAGGACGGACGGGAATCACACCCCGGACGGCACGTGTGCCCGGAACGGCGACCGCACGTGGGCACCTGCCCGCCCCGGGGAGGGAGGGCGAGAGAGCTCAGGGGCCGGCGGCCTTCTTCCCCAGCAAGTTTTAGCTGCCAGTTTCCCAGACGATGGTCTCCAGAGGGGAGGCGAGCGTCCCAGCCTGCTTGCCTCCGACCCGCCGGGATCGGGGGAGAAAGTGATTATTTTTGTCTTGCGTCCGTTGCAGAGTTTTACTTCTGGGTAACTTCCGTGACGTTCAGGTTGCCCTAGTCGTGTGTACGCAGTTGTAGATAAATACGCATCCAGAAGTGCAGGTAGGAGTCTTAAGGTGTTTCCGGGAGACGGTCGCGCCGCAGGGATGGTTCCACCGTGGGCCCCGCTCGCCAGCACCAGTGGCTGCCCTGGGTCGACGTGCCCCGGTGTTGCTTCGTCCTCCCGTCGTCCGTGCACATCAGAGGAGCCTGGGCACCCCTCAGGCCGGGCGGGTGCCTGCGTGGAGGTGCCCGCAGGAGAGCTCCTGGGCAGTGATTTCCGTCCCAGGGGCTCCGGAAAGTGTCCAGGGATTGGCATTGCAACGATGGAGAGAGAACAGTGGCCTCACATTTTATTTGCTGAAAAATCTAATTTAAGGGATGAGACCCATTTCCGTGTTGCGGGTTCTCTGCTGCGCGTGCGTCCCGTGCGTGGCCCCTGCGCTCGTGCGGAGGGAGAGCTGCGGCAGGTGGACAGAAGGACAAGCTTGAAAAGCCAGAGAGGGGTCTTGGGAACCAGTCTGAGTTTATCACACGCCCTTCTGGGACTCCAGCCGCGGTGCGGTTGTCGCATGCTTTTTGCCTGTGATCTCGTTACGTCAGCTCCAAAATAAATCACGGGTTAAAAGTGAGCAGCACGGGCGTCTGGGCGCTGAGGTGTGAGCTAAGGAGGAGGATAAAGAGGGGGCTCCCTGGGCGGATTTGCAGGAGATACTCCTCGGGACCTGCTGAATGAAATTTTTTTTTATATATAAATTTATTTTTTATTGGTGTTCAATTTGCCAACATATAGAATAACACCCGGTGCTCATCCCGTCAAGTGCCCCCCTCAGTGCCCGTCTCTTGGGTTAATCTCTTCTTTTATGTCTTTCGTTTTTCGTGGGAATGGGGCGTCCCCCGCCCCGCACGTCCTCGTGTTGTCATCACCCCATGTTATCTGTGGCGAAGGACTTGCAAGGAGCAGCTTCTCAGTTTCTCACGAAAAATCACGGCCCGTAGGTCTTTAAAGCAAAAGCAATGAACACAAACTACAAGAAGAAACAAAAGACCCATTTTCCACGGCGTTTGGTTTCCATGCAGAAAAGGAAAATCATGTATCGCTTTGTAATTCAGTCGCCTGCTAGGAAGTCCCGTCTCTCGAAATTAAGACGCGGCAACAGGGCAAAGTCAAGATTGTGTTCGTGGCCAAGGGATGTGAAGTGTCGAGCCAGCGGATTCCCCAGGGCGCGTGGGGCGGGGGTATCCGCGCACGTCATCCAGGTGGGACCCCGGAACCTGCACGGCCCAGGCGCCCAGCACGTCGGACTCCGTCCCGCGATGTAAGCCCCGAGGTGCGTTCTCACACGGGGTACGCATCCCCGGACAGCTGCTGCCTCAGGAGGTGGTGCCGGAGGGACAACTTTCTCACCTGGGAAAACACCTGCGGGTCCCTGTGCACCGCTGACCCACGTGACTTGCAACCTCTGGTGGGAAGTGCAAGGAGCCGGGCGGCGGGGGCCACAGGCTGGGGCAGAGGGAGGCTGCGGACGCCCCCCTCATCCCCGGGGCCCCCAAACCCGGTCTCTTCCAAGCCCCATCCTGCAGGGAGGGTGCTGTGTGGGGGGAGCTGAGTGCTTTCTGCCCACGCACCATCTCCCTCCCGTCTGTCTGAGCTCCCGCCTTTGGGTCTTTGCCCTGAGATGAGTTTTGCTCCCTGGGCCGGAAAGCAAACTGCCTCCTGTCTGTGCTCTCGGAGCACAGGGCTTGGTGCCTGGGCTGTGCCTGTGCAGCCTGTGCCCGGTGATTCCCCCCATCCCGAGCCCCCCAGCTGCCAGCCCTGTCTGCCGCCCACCCTGGGCCCTGGGGGTTCTTCCTGCCGCGCTCTGGGGTCGGCCGCAGGGGGAGCAGGCCCTGCCCTGGGACCCTGTGCACCTGCTCCTCGGGGCTCCTCTGTTTGCAGAGCTGCTTGACCCTTGAGCCCTTTGCCCTTGACTTCAGAGGCGGAGTGCAAACACCCTGTGGAGCTGCAACAGGGGGCACGGGACTGTCCCAGCCTGGGGACACAGGGGTAAGAGCCTCCCGAGTGCTTTGGGGCAGCCCGCGCCTGGATTCTGGAGCGAGGCCCTCCCGGTGGGCCGGGCACCACAAGCCCCCGCCCTGCCTTCCCAGGAGGCCTTCACACCAGGAACACCGGCTGGGCTCAACCTTCTCCGCATCCCGGAACCCAAGGGAGGTGGACCTGCCATCGTCATCCTTAAAAACAGCATTTACCTATGGAAGACTTAATGTGAAATTCGTTTTGTGCGCGAGTGCACATAGGTGGGTGCACACACACACGCGCCCCATCTACTTACTCACCTGTGTGTCTGAGGACGTTATAAGGGGCCCTCCGTACACCCACCGCCTCCCAGCCCACTGCAGAGCTTTGGATGAACCTACAGTTAACAGCATTTGGTTACTCTTGCTTCGAGCTTTTGGAATGGCTTGTTATTATTAATTATTATTATTATTATTATTATTATTATTATTTAGCAGCGACTAAAGCGGCTACCTTTGCACAGAGCAGCCTCACTCCTTCGTGCAGCTGGGCCGGCTCCCCCAGGGACCGCATCGTACTCAGCCCTCAGGACGCAGCGTCGTCCTACTGCCGCTGGGCCATCAGGTCTCTGCAGCCCCAGCCCGGGCCACGGGCCTCTCCGTCCCTGTGGTTGGAGCCGGTGGTTCCGAGGATCTGGGGCGACGTCGTCCGGACCCGGAGCGCACCCCAGGGCAGGCAGGCGTGCCCCGACCTGGACGGGGGTCCAGAAGTGCTGCCGTCGCCTGGCCCTTCATCTCAGAGATGGAGGGGACGGACGGGAGCTCGGGTGCCCCGCGGGTGCTCCCTTGCGTCACCTGCCATCACCTCTCCCTTATTTCAAATGAGGACAGTGCTCCTGGCGTCGAGCTGCTTTGTTCAGGGAATCATTACGAAATGCGCGGTTGCCAGGGTGGCAGGATTGTGTCACCCGCAACAGTCGGGTCCGGCAGAGCCGGTCGGGCAGGTTCTCTCCCTCTGCAGCCTGCAAGCCCTTGAACCCGCAGGCCAGGCTGCCGGAACCAACCAGAACCAACTGGAACCTGCCCCTTGGCCTGGGCGGCCACAGCTGGGCTCCCTTCAGCCTCCGAAGGCCCGGCGGCATCTGACCTGCAACACCAGCCGCGGACTCGCCCCTCCTCCATCCCTGCACCCCCAAGTAGTGGGGTCCCTTCAGGCTGGCCAGCTGGGCCAGTGTCGTGGGCCCAGGGCGCCACCGCCTGCGCGGATCTGCAGCAGGCAGGCATCCAAGCCGAGATCTTGGGGGGACCTCGAGATCTGCTCTGCCCCCCTTTCAGTGTGTAGCCGGGCAGTAAACCGACTTCGTGGCCCGGCAGCTGGTCACAGCCACGGGTCATGAGGCCCGGGTGGGGACGGGGTGCGGGCGGGGAAGCAGGTGCATCACGCGGAGCTCCCACGTGCCCTCCCTTCACCCCCCATCCCCCACGGCTCCACCCTCCGCAGCTTCTGGAGGCTGTGTAGACGCCGCCCGTGTTCTCCGTCCTCCCGGGGCAGCCCTGGTCCGCTCCGTCTGTGTCTGGGAACGCGGCTGCCAGGCTCAGGCCTTGGGCCTTTCTCCTCCCCTCCTCCCGCTGCTGCCAAAGGCCATCCTTGAAGCACGTCCTGCAGGAGAAGCCACTTCACTGGGCCTTCTGGCTCCGGGACGGGGCCGCCTGCAGTTCTCCCGGGGCAGGGCCACGTCCCTTGTCCTCTTCCCTGAGCACCTCTGTGCTGCTCCGTGTCCCTGGCCTTGGCTCGCGGGCAGGATGCGTGTCCCGCCGCCCGTGGCTGTGTTAGCACAACTACGCCTGAACCTACTTTGATCGCTGACTCGGCTTCATCTGTTTGCTTTCCGTCTTCCGGGTGAGGTGAGTAGGACAGTAGGTGCACCTGCCGGGGACGGAGGCCCGGCCGTGCTGTGTCCTGGCGCAGGCACGGAGCCTGGCCCAGCCCTTTGCTCACTTGCCCCGGACACACTGCTCAGGCCCAGAAGTCCTTGCCCACGGCACCCCGCTGCCTGACGTCCCCTCGGCCCTGATTCCCCGGCTCCGTCCTCCGCCACGAGACGACCCCCTCTTCCTGGCCTCCTGGGACCAGGGCCTGTTCATTCATCCCCTGACCAGAAGCTTATTGTGGACGTAGGATTGCCCAGCGTCTCGTACCCAGGGACACAGCCATTAGCATCCATGTGGCGTGTCCTAGAGACAGACGGTAACGTGATTCCAGGAGTGGTAGGTGGTAGACAGAGCGTAAAGGGCTGGTGTTCTGGGTGAACTGTCCGGGGAGCTTCTTGGAGGAGGTTTCGTTCTGCACAGAGCTCTCGGAGGAGAGGAGGGGCCGTGGCAGGGTGTGGGCCAGCGTGTGCAAATGTCCTGGGGCAGGGCCGAGCTCTGGACTGCGAAGGCAGCCCGTGTGGCTGGAGTAGCCAGGTTTGGGGAGAGCGGCAGGAGGGGTGGAGGGAGAGCAGCCCGGAAATGGGTGCGGATCTTTTCTAAAGTTCATGAGATGCTCTCAGAAAGCTCCGAGCCGAGGCAGGATGTGCTCTGAACCCGCTCCCCTCACCCCTGCAGAGGAGGCATGGCGAACGGCCAACGCCGCCTTGTTCCTGCCCTTCCTGCAGCCCTCCATGGGTTTCCTGTCCCCGTGGGGATGAGGCCCGGCCCCCGCTCCCCGCCACCGCTGTCAGCGTCCAGCCGTCACCTCCCTGCAAAGTCCGTTCTTCACACGCCCCTGGCTTTCCAAGTCTTCACCTCTTGGCGGCGTCCTCATGCGATCCCTGCACGAAGCCCAGGCTCCTGGACGTTCCCTGCCCACCACCCGTTCCTGAGGCGACTGACCTCATTAATATCCCCACCCAGAGCCCTGATGCATTTCCTGGGGTCTCCGCGGCGTCACCAGCGTGTGGTCTGCTGGATGCTTGTGTCTGTCTTCCCACCAGCCGTGGACTCGCCCCAGGAGGGGGAGCGTGGGGGTGTCCAGCCTCCATCCCAAGGACAGACTCACAGGTGATAAGCAGCAAATGCCTTTAGCACAAACGAGGGGGTACAAAGCACACAGTCTTCCTCCCATTAAGTGCTCAATGCAAACAGGTGGTCCCCAGTTCTGTAAATCAGGCATAGAGGAGCCGTTTCATGATTTGCCTTAGATGTTTATTTATTTACTTTTTAAAAAAGATTTTACTTATTTATTCATGAGAGACACACAGAGAGAGGCAGAGACATAGGCAGAGGGAGAAGCAGGCTCCATGCAGGGAGCCCGAGGTGGGACTCGATCCCTGGTCTCCAGGATCTCATCCCGGGCCAAAGGCAGGTGCTAAACCCCTGCACCCCCCAGGGAACCCCCAAGAGTCGTTCTCTTAAAAATCACCTGCTCTCTCAATTTGCTTAGGACAGTAAACTGAAGCTGCCTTCATTAAGAGCAGTGACAAGTATTATTTCCGGTTATAACAACATACATTAGAAAAACAGCTATCTAATTTCCAGGAAAAGTAATTTCAAAATCAGAAAATTCGTATGTTAAATCACAGGTCAATAAATAATGTGTTCCCTTTGTTACAAGGAATTGCAGCGTCCTGGAAGCTGGGTGGCTCAGTGGTCGAGTGTCCCTCTTCGGCCCAGGGCGTGACCCTGGGGTCCCGGGATCGAGTCCCGCGTCGGGCTCCCTGCATGGAGCCTGCTTCTCTCTCTGCCTGGGTCTCTGCCTCTCTCTGGGTCTCTCGTGAATAAATAAATAAAATCTTTAAACAAATAAAGTTTGATTTGTTAAGCAAAAACATTCCTCATTGATTATTGATACCTGATTAAAGATCGTTTCTTATAGGAGGACAGAGGAGGGAGATTTAATCGAATCTGAGTGAATTTTTAGTACTTTCGTTAGTGTCTGTTTTTCTTCAGACCAAACTATTTTGTTGATCATTCAAATGGCTCCAGCTTCTTTGCTTTCATATTTCGTGTGACTGATGGCAAATACTAACCACGCTTTTATTATTTTATTATTATTATTATTATTATTTTTTACTAACCGCCCTTTTAGGGAACAGTTGTGACTGTCTGATCTGTACACTTTGTAGACACGTGTACGTTTTATAGACTTTCAGTCATCCTGGAACGAATTCACATGTTCTCCAGCAGAAGCATCTTCGACTGAAACAATAAGCCTATAAGCTTCCCTTGCTTATACAGAGTCAGCGTGTGTATACCTATGGCTTGGACGCCTTCTGGATCCACCAAATTAATTCCCTATTTTGCAAAATGCTGGAGATGCTTCGTGCAGCAGGGCTGTGTCATGCGTCCGCTTCCTCTGGACATTGCGTGCTTTGGGGGCGCCTGGGTAGCTCGGTCGGCCGGTGGAGCCTCTGACCCTGGACTTGGGCTCAGGTTGAGATCTCGGGGTTGTGGGATCAAGCCCCGCCTTGGCCAACGTGCTGGACACTCCCTCTTCAGACCTTGTCCGAATTCTCTGCCACATACCGAGCGACCACGTGACGTCAGTAGAGGACGCGTGAGCTGCGCTATGATTTTCCACGTAAAGATCCCACACCTGTGAGAAGCAAGACTTTTTTCACTGTAAACAGTAACGCAGGGAAACAGGACTCCGGACAGGAAATCCTTTTCAGTTCAACAACACAGCGAGGGGATAAAACTTCCCGTGACAACCCCGTCATCGCGCTGCCAGCTGGCGACCTCTGTCGAGCCTCAGAGGCTCTGTGAGCCTTCCGGTCCTCGCTGGCACGCGGGGGCGATGGTCCTGGCCGTCGCGGGACCGCCCGGGTGGCGTGGGGCGGAGAACCCACTCGAAACCACCTGCACGGGGCAGGACAGGACAGGGAGGGTCGGAGTGGCGGGGCCGCGCGCGTGTGATCCCAAGCGATGCTGTTGCACGTGGGCCGGAGGCTCCAGGAGCCTTTTCCACGGGAGCCCAACCTCCAAGGAAAACCGCGGGGCCCCAGCGGTGCGGCCACCGCCTTGCCGTCACGTTCTACAACGGTGCTGGCTGCCGGTCTCCGTGTGCGCCCCGAGGCCCCCACCGGGCTTTCTGGGAGCACAAGGCTTGCGTGTGGGTGGCACTGCAGGCAGCCTCCAGCGGTCCCCAGAGGACTGGGCAGGGCGGGGGCTCCCGCGGGGCTTCTCGGCCACACCTGTTGTGCTGGGCCTGGGCTCCGCGAGGAGACGGAGACTGAGAGCGCTCACCTGCCATCTGTCCTGTACAGGGCCCGGGGCCGTACTCAGTGGGAGGCCCTGGAGTGGGTGCCGTTGGAGGGCGCCACCCGGGGACACGCCGCCTTTGTGCGTGGGGCCGCCTGCACGACGGCTGCCACCGCGGCGCCCCCCGACAGCCCAGGCCCCGGCTGAGCCCACGGCTTCCCGTCACACGCGTCTGCTGCTTGAACTGCAGGCGTGGCAGAGCAAGGGGTAAAACAGCCGCCGGGCCTTGGGTGGAGGGGTGGCCACAGGCCCCCAGGCCCCCGGTCGTCTCCATACGGCTCCGTCTTCGCAGGTTGGGCTTCCCACGTGGTGCAGGAGCTCGGGGGGCAGAGCTGGGGCTGGGCTGGAGCTGGGGCCGGGACCTTGGCTGACTGGGGTAGCCTGCTGGGGCAGACGCATTCCCAAGTCGCTATGGGGTCATCTGGCCTCCCTTCGTGGGTGATTATCAGAATTTCACCAGATTACACGGGCTGAGGGCCTGGCGCACGGCAGGCCAGGATTCACTGTGTGGCCCCTCCCTGCCCACCCTGAGACCTGTGCACCCTGGGACCTGCACACCCTGGGACCTGTGCACCCTGGGATTGTGCACCCCGAGACATGTGCACCCTGAGACCTGTGCACCCCGGGACCTGTGCACCCCGGGACCTGTGCACCCCGGGACCTGCACACCTCTCATGCCTGCCAGGAGGACGGCGGTCTTGCCAGGGGCATCCCTGGTCAGGCCACAGCATGTTCCTAGAACATGCTCAGGCTTCTTGATTGAGCCCTCATCTGCCCGGACGTCCGGCCCTGAGACTCCAGCCTCGCAGAAGTGAAGATCTGCACGGGGGTCAACGTGCCCTGAGGTTGAAAGGCCGCCAGCTCACCCACAAACAGGCGAGGCCCTGGGCGACGCGAGTTGTTCTTATTTCTTCAGCGTGGTTATCCGTTAACCAAGACAATAAAGAGGAGACACGGGAAAGGGCCAGGGCGGCTGTTGGACTCTCTCCCCAGAGAGCGAGGTGCACTCGTCCACGTGAATCGTTGGAATGTGCACCGTGCCCTCAGCAGGATCTCAGGCCCCCGTACGGACTTTCTGCAGGCGCTCCTCCCAACCGAGCTACCAGGTGGCGGGGAGCATCCCTCTTCTCATTACGTGCTGCACTTTGAACACGTCTTTCCAGGGGCTCCTGGGGGGGCTCAGTTGCTTGAGTTCACTCAGGTCGTGGTTTCAGAGTTGTGAGATCGAGCCCCACGAGGGCTCTGTGCTGGGCGTGGGGTCTGCTTGGGCTTCTCCTCTCACCCTCTCCCTCTGCCCCTCCCCCCCCCCCCAAAAAAAAACCAAAATGAAACGTAACCTTACTTTAAGGCACGGGAGTCGGCCTCTTGTAAACAGCAGGATCAGAGATAGGACGCGGTGTTCAGACTGATAGCGGCATTACGGGGAGGCTGCGCTTTAGTTTCTTAGGAGCCATTTTAGGAAAATGCATGTTTGGCCAACAGCTCGGACTATTCACAGAATACTTCTTGAAAAATGCTAAGTTGGGGGGAGGGATAAAGATTGAAGTCAGTTATAGGAAATATCCTTTTAAATATACTTAGAGCAGGACACCTGGGTGGCTCAGGGGTTGAGCATCTGCCCTCGGCTCAGGGCATGACCCCGGGGTCCTGGATCGAGTCCCACG